AATTCTTGCCATGAAAAAGTAAACTAGAGATGATAGTAATTTGATTTCATTAATAACTGGAGATTTTTCAGATAATTTTTAACTTCTATTTCATTGAAATTTCTGTAGATTTTTTTAAAGATGTAAAATCCTCCTTTATGGTAACAATAAAGATAGTGGAGGAATAAATTTTCGGATGGATTTATTTGGTGACAGAATGAAGGAATTTACTTGGTATACTTTTTTGTGTGGTGGTGGAGGCAGATACAGTAGAGGTAAAATAGGTGGACAGAGTTCTTATGGTAGTGGCAATAGCAGTGATGGATATGGTAGCGGTAATTTTTCAGGTTGAAGGAGACAAAAACACAAAATTTGAGATATCGATTTTCCTATGCTATAGCTTGCTATTTGGGCGGCCATAGCAGTTTAATTGCTTAGAGTTGATTGTATAAGCAATATAATGTATGTTGAAAGCAATTATTCTTGTTTTTCACCAAATGTGAAATTTCTGAAGGAGGAGAAGTATGAAGATGAAGGTAAGTGGGGTCCACATAATCTAAGGTTAATGTAAAAAAGAAAAAAAACTTAATTTTGAAGGTCTCACACGCTCAAATGCTAATATAAAGCACACGCTTTGCCATGTCAGCGTGAGGGGTTCACGAGGATGCACTTAAGTGGAGAAGAAGTGTCTAAATAGTAATGAGGTAAGTGAAAGTGTTCATGTGATCGTTCAGGACAACTTAAAGGGACCGTTTATGTATTTCACCTATTTAATATTAAGTTTTACTTATAATCCAGTTTGAACTGGATCAAGCAACGTGAAACTCCATTTGGACTAAGTAACGCAAATTGGACGTTAGGCACTTCAATAAAGGGTGGAGGAAAGGTATCGTACTATGTCTTGCAATAAAACCAATGAATGAATTACAAAGCAGTAGAGAAAGAACACAAATCTTTTAGATCAAAGCAGTAGAGAAGCTCAAGCTGCAAAGATGGAGAAAAGGCTAATCTTTTCAATTAAAGCAACAGAGAAGCTCTACATATGACACAAAAGACAAATCTTTTCAAAGGCCAACAACGGAAGAGGAAACTAGTACCTCCCGATCTCCATGGAAAAGCACCACAAATTCTTAAGATTCACTATTGAAACCCTCACCAAGAGAATCAACACTACTTTCCCCTCCAGAATTTCCAAAGAAGGGATCTTGTACTTAGGGATTGGGATATGAATCTACTAGTGATGATTATAAAATACTTAAGATCCATAACATGCAGAGAAATTATAGCGTTGAAAAATGGTTCATGGAAAAAAGTTGATAGAAATCCTACTGGCATCTACCTTGTGGTGCGTGGTGCAGACTATTTTCCATTTCTACATGCATTTAATTGGCTTGGTGTTGGGTCCAAATGCACACGTAAATATACGCGGTCGACAAGTAATAAAGTGATAAGAAAATATCATTTCCACGAGGATTTATGATCAACTATTTTTCAATCTAAGCTATTTATATATTTAATGCTCAAGTGAGTGTGAAGAAGATGATTGCGATGTTTATAACTAAATTACTACGAACTAAACTAATAAGCAAGCAAGAAAATAGAATCGCAAATAGAGCAAACAAACACTTAGGAAGAATTCAATGAGATGGGGATATTCCAGGGTTATGGGATTAACGTCTCTCCCATTGCGTTTTTCAGGTTGATGAAATCACTTGACTTATCTAATTTGTTGATTAACAGGGTTTATTATGCTCGCGAAGTTCTTTCAACGCTTCGCTCACCTATTCAATCCAACTTAAGACTATACGTCTATAGAATCAAACTTGACAAGAATGCATGTATATTTCCTGCAAAAATAACCAAGTAAGACAACTAGAATATGTCTATCCTAATCACGAATCTATTCTCTGATACCCGAATTCAAGAACTTACTCTATTCAATCCTATATGCAATTTATAGTTCTCACTTTCTAGTTCAGCTATAAATTCGTAGATAGTACTCTATTGTTAGCTACGCAATAGAATAACTAAGTGCAAGATTGAATAAACAAATTAAGATGATAAAATCAAGCAAAATAATCAACCGTCAATTTACAATAGTCAAGAACGACCCATAACCCCAGAATAATAAGGTTCTTAGCCACTCATGTTCATAACAATCATCAAAATGTTGTTTTCAAACATAAAAGTTATGAATACTAGAAGTAGAATGGAAGAATTGATGAATTACTTGCTCCCGAGTGTTTCATGCTTGTGTTTTTCTCTCATAGTGGCGTCTCCCTTGCCAAAATAGGTTTAGGTTTACTTTTATACGAGTTGGGGGTATCTTGGGGTCGAAATAACTGAGTCCCGGGCGAACTAGGACAAATTCACGTCACCAGTGCCCAGGGTAGCGTAGGGCGCTAGCCCTGGCAATGGCCTTCTTGGAGATTCTGTTTTGTGCGCCACAGGTAGGACCCCACGCTGCCTGTGGCTCTACTCTATGGATTTTCCTCATTTCGTCCTGTTTTCGCTTCAGTTCGCGCACCTTCGTCCCAAATTGCTAACGGATGATTCCTACACATAAAAATACCATAATGTAGCACAAATCATTACATTGCACATCCAAAATCTACGATACATGAGTAAAATGCAAGGTAATATGCATACAAATATACATACCTTAAGCCGAATATGAACACACCACACTTAGACTCTTGCTCGCCCTCGAGCAATGAAACTATAAATATACCCCAACAACGTACATCTTACTAGGAAAGATCACTTCAATGTTTTTAACCATACACTCTACCTTTGACTGTAGTCGATACCAGCAATCAAGCATGAACATACAAATTTCACCTTCTTCCCATTTTAAACATACCCAAGTACACACAATGCTATTCAACCAATTCAAACAACCTATCCAAAACCACCCTACCTCAAGATTCGACTTGTTACCACTAACCACCCTCAACTAGCGCACTCACCAATAAGAGAAGTTTACAACTTTACCAATCCGTCATGAGATCAAGTGCCCTCACCACAAACAAAAGAGTGAATATAGAAATAGTCCACACGTTCAAATATGCCATTGAACATAAATTAAGGACATCACACAATTGAACAAAATTCGCTCACTCTCATAAAATATTTCATGTGCATCCCGTGGTCGTACCATAAGCTTGCCCATAGTGTACATATCTACTAATCTAAGCTAGACAAATCTAGGATCAATTAGGACTTTAAGGTTATAATGCAGGCTAAGGGACGGGTAGGGTATATTTAGGAATAATTACTAACCCTCCTAAGCACTTTAATATAATATACTCAAGAATCGAGCACTTTTCTTCTCAACCAATTAACTTGCCACAAACCATACACAATATAGCCCTTTCTTCAATTAAGCACTCTACATCCCCACTCGCACGCATTATTCAGATTAGCGGGTGTGTGTTTTTCTTCTTTTTTGGACTATTAACATTATTTGCCTTTTTTATTCTTTTTTTTCTTGAATTTTCTTTTCTCTTTTTTTTTATTCTTTTCTACACAGACTCCATACATTAAGGCTCATCGGCTAGTGATATTTTTCACAACTTTAGTGCACCTTATGGGCCTTTCTATGGTTCCACTCAAAAGCTATTTCCCAAATCTCTCACCTTAATTCTTTTAGCGCCTAAGTGCCTTCGGAGGTAAAGGTTCAAAAAGCTCAACTTAAGAACAAAATAAGGATACGGCTTGTACTGTGGGTGCTAAAGGAAAGGTCTAATGGCTCAAAGGGGCTAGCAACAGAAAGTTTTTATTTGTAAGTGACAAGCACCTCTATTATCAAGCAAGAAACGCCTACGTTATCTCCTAGACTAGCACAACTTAATGATTTCGCTTTGATTAACACATGCGGCAAGTTCTAGACTAAACATGATAGCACAGAATACCACAAATCCTCTCACACACATTGCACATGACTCAATCAAGACGGTTCTATTCAACTCATAAGTCAAGCAAGTACATATAGTTGAGAAATTTTAAGCAATATTGCACGAGGTGGAATACAAGTCAAACAACTGAGAAAAAAGCGTCACAGAGTAGGCTATTTATTTCACTCAAGCATCACATTTCAAATCAAATATAATAGGAAGATAGAGCACATGCCATTGCCTAATGTGCCAGCACCAAACATGTCAACAGGTGTCTCAGAGCAACTCAGATTTTTTCCTATCTTACTCTAAAAAAAAAAAGAAATATCCGTTTTAAGCTACACCCTTGAAAAAGAACTGGAGCCCAAAAAATAACTAAGGGATACTACCTTATTATCCTAGAAAAAAAAAAGAAATTTTTTTTGGTATTTTTAATCGGACTTTAATCTCTCAAGAAAACTGTCAAAGAGATCCATCGTCAGAAAAATTCTGAATTGTTTTTTTTTTCATTTTTTAAAATATAGACTACTACTAGCTAACTAGACTATGTCTACTACGAGTTCTAAAAGAAAAACAAATAAAAAAAAGTTTCACACAATTACACTTCAGAAAATAGTTCTCCCACCCCACACTTACGTTATGCATAGTCCTCGATGCATGGATCACAAAGAAAAATATTAAAACAAGGGTGAGAAATACTCCCTGAGACCCTCTAGGGCCTAGTTAGCAACATGATCCTCAATATTAAGGGTCGGGACAACCCTACACTTAAGCTCAAACATGCTCCTCGGCTTCAACTTCGGGTACTCAGACTTCCCATAATCTACAAAACAAAAACAAACAAAACGTGACACTATAAAAAATAAAAAAAATAAAAAAATATAGATTGGGTTGCCTCCTAACAAGCGCCTGATTTAATATCGCGGCACGACGTGAACCACTTTCTCAAGCTGGACGTTTTCGTTTCCTCCTCTTTCCATGGAGTTTTGCCTTTTTGTGCGCTCTAGGGGGATATCCTATTTCCTATCTAACCCTTTTCTCTTTTACCTTTACACATTCAGCACGCAACACAACTTCTTCTAACTCAATTTTCTTTTCCATGACAGTAGGCTCCACATAAGGACCTTACTTTATCAACTTTGATTCTATCATAGAGATCATGCACAAATCCTCATAATGCTTTGGAAGGTTAAGCGCCTTGTACACATTAAATGTAATTTCTTCATCATGAACTCTCATATTTAGTTTACCCTCCCTCACATCAATAAGTGCTCCACCAGTAGACAGGAATGGTCTCCCCAAAATAATTGGAACCTCCTCATCGGCCATGTAGTCAGGAATATTAAAATTGGCGGGCAAGATGAACTTCCCCACTCGCACCAGCACATCTTCAATAATTCCTTCAAGCACAACTAATGACCGATCTGCTAGTTGTAGAGTTATAGTAGTAGGCATGGGGGCTCCAAGATCGAGCTGCTTGAACACTGATAGTGGCATCAAATTAGTGCTCGCTCCCAAATCGCACAAGGCTCTACCAACCTCGTGTTTTCCAATCGCCAGGGGGATTGTAAAACAACCGGGATCCTTCAACTTTGGCGGGAGCTTACTCTGTACTCTAGCACTGCACTCCTCAGTAAGTGCAGTCGTTTCAAACTCTGTCAACCTTCTTTTATTAGCCACGATGTCTCTCAAGTACTTGGTGTATTTAAGAACTTCTTACAACACTTCTATCAAAGGTAGATTCACCCGCATCTGGCTCAAGATATCTAAGAATTTTTTGTATTTGGACTCATCTTTTGACTTTTGTAACCTTTGAGAAAAAGGCGGTAGTGGCCTTACCTCTATCTCCTGCCTATGTTTATCATCTTTTTTTTCAGCTTCTACCTCTGGTTGAGGTACCAATCTTTCAAAAACTTCTTTAGACACAAACTTTTTAGGTGGCATCTCCTTCAATGCTTTCCCACTTCTTAGATTAATTGCTTGCACTTTTTCAACAGGATTCTTCTCAGTATCACTTGGGAGTGCTCCATTTGGTCTAGCATTCTGAGTGGAGGCAACTTGCCCGACTTGCCTTTCCAAATTATTGAATTCCGTTTGAAGTTGCTAATTATCAAGACGGAGTTGTTGATTATCAAACGAGAGCTTCTTTAACAACTCATTGGTAGTATCCTCTACTTGTTGTGGTGGAGTCTCTAGTACGTTGAAATTTCCTTGAGGTCTGTTACTGTTATGATTACTGCCCCAAGAGAAGTTGGGATAGTTTCTCCAGTTTGGATTCTAAGTGTTCCCATACTGAGTACTCTGGTTCATCAGACCCTGTTGTGCTGCCCCACATAATAAATAGATTCAGGATTCAATGGGCAATGGTTACTCATGTGTCTTTCTCCACATATCTCACAACATGTAGACATTTGTTGCACCTGTTGCATCTGTTGCGCTTGTTGCATCGTTATCTTATTTACCTGATTGGCTAACTTTGCTATATCTGCTCTTATGGCTGAGAAATCATCAAGCTCAATAACACTTGCTGCCTTCTATTTAAGTGCTCTCTGTGGTTCCCTATCTCCTTGCAAATTATTATTGTTAGCCGTGAAATTGTTATCGTTAGCCGTGAAATTGTTCACTAGGATTTGAATTTCAATGTACGGCTTATCCATGCAACTACCTCCACATCCCGAATCAAGATTCATCTTGGATGTTCGTCTAACCCATCAACAAAAGTATGACCCAGGATTTCATCAGTCTGACAATGATGCGGGCAATCTCTGAGTAGCTTTTTGTATCTCTCCCAGGCTTGACATAGAGTCTCGCTATCTTTTTGTTGAAACCATAGAATTTGGCTTCTCAGTGACTTTGTTTTCTTTGTGGGAAAGAATTTGATAAGGAATTTCTGTGCTAGATCATCTCATGTTCAGATTGAGTTTGCTGGCTCTTTGTTCAACCACTCCTTTGCTTTCCCCAATAGAGAAAAGGGGAAAAAGGTTAGTTTGACATAGTCCTTGGGGACGTTCGGATAGTTGTATGTATCCGTAATCTCCAAAAATTTATGTATGTGCCTCTGTGGATCTTCACTCGGTAAACGCACAAATTGCCCTGTGGATTGGATCAGTTGAACCATGTACTATTTTAGCTTAAAGTGCCTAGTTATGTCAGGCTTCACGATAGCCTGAGTCATGTTCGCAAGACTAGGCCTTGTGGCCTCAATCACCAGTCTCTCATCATTCTCTGCCATTTCGATTGTTGTGGTTGGACTATAACGCTCAACTATGCAGTTCTGCCTCCCTCCTTAACCTGTGGAGGAGTGTTTTGGGTTCAGGATCAAAAGGCGGAAGATCGTTCAGACTGTTACTTCTTCTCAGCATTCAATATGAACACATGTAGAGTAGGAAACAACAAAACGATTTAAATCTCGAACAAAAACTAATAGAAGCTTATTTCAGACAAGTAGATAATTTCTAAATCCCCGGCAACGATGCCAAAAACTTATTGGATCCAAACGTACACACAAGTATACACGACCGACAAGTAATAAAGTGATAAGAAAGTATCATTCCCACGAGGATCTATGATCAACTATTTTCCAATCTAAGCTATTTTATATATTTAATGCTCAAGTGAGTGTGAAGAAGATGGTTGTGATGTTTATAACTAAATTACTACGAACTAAACTAATAAGCAAGCAAGAAAATAGAATCGCAAATAGAGCAAATAAACACTTAGAAAGAATTCAATGAGATGAAGATATTCCAGGGTTATAGGATTAACGTCTCTCCCATTGCGTTTTTCAGGTTGATGAAATCACTTGAATTATCTAATTTGTTAATTAGCAGGGTTTATTATGCTCGCGAAGTTCTTTCTACGCTTCGCTCGCCTATTCAAGCCAACCTAAGACTATATGTTTATAGAATCAAACTTGACAAGAATGCATGTATATTTCCTGCAAAAATAACCAAGTAAGGTAACTAGAATATGTCTATCCTAATCATGAATCTATTCTCCGATGACCGAATTCAAGAACTTACTCTATTCAATCCTATACGCAATTTATAGTTCTCACTTTCAAGTTTAACTATAAATTCGTAGATAGTACTCTATTATTAGCTACACAATAAAATAACTAAGTGCAAGATTGAATAAATAAATTAAGATGATAAAATCAAGTAAAACAATCAACCGTCAATTTACAATAGTCAAAAACGACCCATAACCCCAAAATAATAAGATTCTTAGCCACTCATGTTCATAACAATCATCAAAATATTATTTTTAAACATAAAAGTTATGAATACTAGAAGTAGAATGGAAGAATTGATGAATTCCATGCTCCCGAGTGTTCAATGCTTGTGTTTTTCTCTCAAAGTGGCATCTCCCTTGCCAAAATAGGTTTAGGTTTGCTTTTATACGAGTTGGGGGCGTCTTGGAGTCGAAATAACCGAGTCCCGGGTGAACTAGGACAAATTCATGCCACCAGCGCCCAGGGTAGCATGGGGCGCTATCCCTGGCACTGGCCTTCTTGGTGATTCTGTTTTGTGCGCCACAGGTAGCGCCCCACGCTGCCTGTGGCGCTACTATATGAATTTTCCTCATGTCATCCCCTTTCTGCTTCAATTCGCGCACCTTCATCCCAACTTGCCTCCGGATGATTCCTACAGATAAAAATACCACAATGTAGCACAAATCATTATATTACACATCCAAAATTTACGAAACATGAGTAAAATGCGAGGCAATATGCATACAAATATACATACTTTAAGCCGAATATCACTTGGTATGTCACTAGATTATTCTATGGTTTCATTTAATACTTCAAACGAGGTGTGCAGAGAGATACCGTTGCGAGAGCAAATGCGCTCGTTTTTCAACGTGGATTTACATGCAGAGACGAATCCAAGATTTCAAAAGGATGGGTGCATTAATGTGATGAGGTGGATCTAGAATTTATATTTGGCGGGTTTAACTTTAGTTTTTTCCCTTGAACCCACTACACTTTTGAAATTATAGGTTTCAAAATTATATTCTTTTTAAAATTTTACTGATTTTCACAAACACACTTTCTGTCGAAAACAAAATCATTTGAAGTGAGATTTGAATTGTCAATTTTACTTGTAGAGGTACACCCAATAATTATTGCACCATACGAGTCCTTGAGCATGGGTGCATGCACATATATTTAAGTAAAATTGAAGAAAATATAATATTGTTTTACGTGATTTAGAGAGAAGTATAAGTTCATAAACCAATATCCTAAGACCCCTAGATACGCCCGTGAATACATGGAACATGGCGTTTCAATATTGAGAGGATTGCTTTGTTGTTATTCTACTTCGTATATTGAAGTAATGTTAATAAAATGCAACCTACAAGGTAACCTGTTAAAGAAGCTGTTATCCCCATTCTTAGTGATAGTTTTTGTTATTTTTCAATATATAAAGATCCACATATCTAAACTGCCTAATTCATAGGGGATTCCGTATTAATTTCAGCTAGATCTTTGTCAATTTAAAGGTAATACTTAATTCACTATTTCAAGAATACCTTTCGCTTGGCATTATAGCTGTTCAATGGCGTACACAAGAACTTTTGTATGTGGTGTCACCATTAGACGTGATAAATAAATAAATATAATATCATATTTTGAGAAAACAACCAATAAAAAAAAATACAACTTACAAAGGAAGCAATCCAATTTAAAAATTGTATTGTGCTGGTCTCTTTAGTTATGACTTAGGATCCACTAATTCAGTGCTTTGATACTAAACGGTTTAAACCCCTGCGGGCACATATTGTTTTTACTTTTTAGATGAGGCATAAAAGTATTACGACATATAAAATGTTAATAAAATGTTATTCTACTTCGTATATTAAAGTAATGTTAATAAAATGCAACCTACAAGGTAACCTGTTGAAGAAGTTGTTATCCCCATTCTTAGTGAAAGTTTTTGTTATTTTTCAATATATAAAGATCCACATATCTAAACTGCCTAATTCATAAGGGATTCCATATTAATTTCAGCTAGATCTTTGTCAGTTTAAAGGTAATACTTAATTCATTATTTCGAGAATACCTTTCGCTTGGCATTATAGTTGTTCAATGGCGTACGCAGGAATTTTTGTATGCGGTATCACCATTAGACATGATAAATAAATAAATAAATATAATATCATATTTTGAGAAAACAACCAATAAATAAAAATACAACTTACAAAGGAAGCAATCCAATTTAAAAATTGTATTGTGCTGGTCTCTTTAGTTATGACTTAGGATCCAGTAATTCAGTGCTTTGATACTAAACAGTTTAAACCCCTGCGGGCACATATTGTTTTTACTTTTTAGACGAGACATAAAAGTATTAAGACATATAAAATGTTAATAAAATATTATTCTACTTCGTATATTGAAGTAATGTTAATAAAATGCAACCTACAAGGTAACCTGTTGAAGAAGCTGTTATCTCCATTCTTAGTGATAGTTTTTATTCTTTTTCAATATATAAAGATCCACATATCTAAACTGCCTAATTCATAAGTGATTCCGTATTAATTTCAGCTAGATCTTTGTCAGTTTAAAGGTAATACTTAATTCACTATTTCGAGAATACCTTTCGCTTGGCATTATAGCTGTTCAATGGCGTACGCAGGAATTTTTGTATGCGGTGTCAACATTAGACGTGAAAAATAAATAAATTAATATAATATCATATTTTGAGAAAACAACCAATAAAAAAAAATGCAACTTACAAAGGAAGCAGTCCAATTTAAAAAATGTATTGTGTTGGCCTCTTTAGTTATGAAGGATCCACTAATTCAGTGCTTTGATACTAAATGCGCGCACGGATTGTTTTTACTTTTTAGACGAGGCATAAAAGTATTAAGAAAATGAGCCTACGGGAGGTTTGAACTCGTGACAATAGATAAATTGTTCAATCTCTAACCAGTTAAACTACAGAGATCTTCGTTGCAAGTGTTTAACTGTATTTTGTTTTATTGGTTTCTTGTTTCTTCATTTGAATTATATACAAATAATTATTAAGGATTTTCGACGAAGTGGTGTCACGTGACACCGGTTGAGCTAAGGTAGATCGGCTGTTATTGATCATCAAGAGTAAAAAATGTTATCATCCATTGTTTCTTAACAGAGGAAACTGTTTGTACTGATAAAAGTTCTATCCTTGTCATTGACCTTGTCATCTTAAAAAAAAATAGCAATGGCAAGGACAAAAGGGAGACAATTGCTGAAAATGCACTCTAGAACTAAGTTTAATTTGAAGAAGCTGTTATCCCCATTCTTAGTCATAGTTTTTGTTCTTTTTCAATATATAAAGATCCACATATCTAAACTGCCTAATTCATAAGGGATTCCGAATTAATTTCAGCTAGATCTTTGTTAGTTTAAAGGTAATACTTAATTCACTATTTCGAGAATACCTTTCGCTTGGCATTATAGCTGTTATTGATCATCAAGAGTAAAAAATGTTATCATCCATTGTTTCTTAACAGAGGAAACTGTTTGTACTGATAAAAGTTCTATCCTTGTCATTGACCTTGTCATCTTAAAAAAAAATAGCAATGGCAAGGACAAAAGGGAGACAATTGCTGAAAATGCACTCTAGAACTAAGTTTAATTTGAAGAAGCTGTTATCCCCATTCTTAGTCATAGTTTTTGTTCTTTTTCAATATATAAAGATCCACATATCTAAACTGCCTAATTCATAAGGGATTCCGAATTAATTTCAGCTAGATCTTTGTTAGTTTAAAGGTAATACTTAATTCACTATTTCGAGAATACCTTTCGCTTGGCATTATAGCTGTTATTGATCATCAAGAGTAAAAAATGTTATCATCCATTGTTTCTTAACAGAGGAAACTGTTTGTACTGATAAAAGTTCTATCCTTGTCATTGACCTTTTCATCTTCAAAAAAATAGCATTTTGTTAGAATTTCTGGCTCTAAGTTAAAGGACAAAAGGGAGACAATTGCTGAAAATGCACTCTTGAACTAAGTTTAATTTGACATGCAAAGCAAGGGAAACTTGTCAATAAGACAAATCAATGGCAAGTTATTGAAGAATTCATACTGGTTTTATTATATCAAAATTCTTAACAAACAATACACAGTCTGTCAGGCACAAAATAAAAATAGTAATACTGCATTTTGTGATGCAGAACGCGCTGCTAATTTGGACGCAAAACATTAATATTGAAAACACTAAAAATTGCCTAAGATGAAAGACCAGCCTTGATCTTCTGAATAGTGGAAACATCAGACTTGAATGACTTGGCGAGAATTTGATCATCGACTCCAGTAGCAAACAATGTAGTAGGAAGCGAAACAGTTCCAGCATTGGCACTACCAAAACCAGAAACAGCTGTAGCTGATTTATTCCAATCAGAATTATACTGATAATGCACTAATCCTTTAGGAAACACAAACAAGTCACCAACTTGAAGAGTCTGAGTGTAAAGCTTGTTACTGGTGTCCACAAATCCAACCTCGAGACTACCTTGAACGACGAATAGCAGCTCAGCTGCGCGAGGGTGGATGTGGGGCGGGTTGACACCTCCTCTTGGAAACTGAAGTACTGCCAATGATACACTCTGACCATCCAAAATTGGAAACTCTGCCTTGCTAGCTTTTGTTACTTTGAACTTTTCAATGACACTGCCAAAAATTCCACGTGTGCCTGTGAAGGTAAATAAGTTCCCATCTATTGCGCTTCCTGGAGGAACAATGAAGTCGGACAAGATATCTGGATCACTAGCTTGAGTTATCGAAAAAATTGCAAATATGGCTACAACAAAAAGGACACTTTTCAGGTGGAATGAGGCCATTTTCGCTCGTCCTAGGTGGCTAAAAGAAACAGGTAAGAGGATATAGATAAGTTGTAAGAGAATGATGATTAGTTCAGTTTGATCACAAATTTATAAAAGACCAAATCTGGAACCAAATTTGCTGAAGGGTAAGCCAGTTGGTAATTGATGTTAACTAAGCTTGACCACCATTAGTTTATTATTTTTGATGGCAGAAACTACCTGGAAACTACATTTAAAGATTTTATAATTCGAAAAGCGTTTAATGTTCCTTAGGTTTCATCAGTTATGCATATATGCTTCAAGATATTATTTTATGGACTCTTTTACTTTGTAATATAAACAAGGTGGTCAAAGTGGAAAACATCACCATTTTAAGGAACAATGTAGCTGTTTTCTCTTGTCCATATTGAAAACCAGAACTGGAAAGGGGTGAACAATTTGTTCGTTTTTGAATCGACACAATTTTAGGATGGCCTGCAATTGAATCAAACAAGAGAGTCCCATAGGAGTTTCCTATATATTGACAATATACTATTTGTTTCTGCAATTCATCGGAGACTTCAAATCTCAATTCTTATTTAATATGTCCCCTGTATAGCTATAAAATCTATAGTCCATAATTCATGTCCTTCACACATTCAAACTTTGAATAAATCCTTCAAACACTTAAACCAAAACATAAAAAAAACATGGAATCAAAAACTTCAAGTTGCATAGTTCTGTTAGCTCTAGCAATATGGGTAGTCCAAATGGCATCAGCTGGTGACCCTGATATCCTAACAGACTTTGTGCTGCCACTGGAGGTACCATCAGTTGATCCGTCTTACTTCACCTTCTCGGGCCTAAGGGGACTCATCGGAGCTCCACCGCCAGAAAAATTCAAGGCGACAAAGGCAAGTATGGTCGAGTTTCCAGCCCTGAACGGACAAAGTGTTTCCTATGCAATCCTGCAGTATCCTGCAGGCTCTGTCAATCCTGTCCACACTCATCCACGAGCAACCGAACTGCTTTTCCTCATGTCGGGAACACTGCAAGTTGGATTCATCGATACCACGAACAAGTTCTTCAATCAAACGTTGCAAACTGGAGATGTTTTCGTGTTCCCTAAGGGGTTACTTCATTTCCAGTACAATGCTGATGCTAATAATTGTGCTTGGGCTATATCTGCATTTGGAAGTGCAAATGCAGGCACTGTTTCTGTTCCTAACTCTGTGTTCAATACCAGTATTCCTGATAACATTTTGGCCAAGTCATTCAAGACTGATATCATGACTATTCAGAAACTCAAGGCAGGTCTAGCATGAAAATTAAAATATACTTAGGGGGAAGTTTTTAATTTCAATATTTTTATTTCACATTGTTGTTTTTCACTTTTCAATGTAAAAACAATTAACCTTCTGAGGATCTGGAGGTTTATGGCATGCCATCGGAATGCAAAGTCTAAAAATAAATGAATTTTTTAGAGGGTGTTTGGATTGGTTTTTAAAAAATAGCTTATAAGCTATAAGCCAAAAGTCGTTGGTAATACCCTACTTTTGGCTTATTTTTGCATTTTTCATGCCTAAAAGTAAGTATTTTTAAACA